TCTAGTTTCATATTTGTTGTATACTTATTAAAAGAAATCTACAGAAAAATTATGAGCGAAATCCATTTTGTGGGCAAAACTCGATATGAGGATCTTACAGAGACTGGCTCTTAATTATTATAAAAATGATGAGCGATTTTGTGTAGGGTTCCTTCAAGGTTCCATCATGGCTGAGTGTTCATCGCAGTCTAGTTACTGACTTCGTTGTTACGGATCCAAAGGTACAAGCTTAATTACTGGATAATATCAACTACTATGAGTTTTATTAAGAACATTTCTTCACTCTAAAATGAGGAATAACACTTCCGATTGAATAGGTTGTCGTAGTGAAATAAGAGGTAGCGAATTGACTTTGAAATGCACATAACTGCTCGAAGAAAAACACGTACTTCCATCAGTAGTCCTAAATAAGAAATTTGTGACTATGCCGGAGAGAAAATTGCCGTCACATATTGATCTTGGTCTTGTTTCAGTATAATCAACAGCTGGTGGTAAGAAAATGAAGTGATCTACCCATCCGAGAAAAGTTGGTAATCACGTGACCGTACACCGACCGACCGCCCGCCTGAGATACCGTCCGTCCGCACTACAGGCATACGCCGCACCTTTTGACGCTTTGACATTTGACGTTTGGACATGAGAAACGGTTTTTCGGGAAGTGGGCGGGGTAGTGGGGGAATTTAGGTATTTGACAAGATGCTTACAAACTCTCTACTTCTCTCTTACAGTCGTTTTTCGCTCATCTCGTTCACTATTTCACTCTCGCTCTCTTTTTTTGGTTTGTCTGCGCTGACCGACAGCCTTGCACAGGCTAAGGTATCATTTATCTCTTAACCTTAACATAATTTCCTTTTAGTTGCTGTATTTAAGAAATGGCCGTTCTTAATTTGTTAATTTTACTAAAAAGCATGCCTTTTTTTCCAAGAGAGAATTCTCTCTTGTTCGTAGTTACTATTTAAGTGAATGCGATGAATAATGGTCATTCTCTTTGTCTCTTTCTGTAATAACGATTGGCACTCGTTATTAGGTCTTTGGAGTACCTCTGACATTGGAATCCAAAGCAACAAGCTAACTGTAGTCCTTCGTCTAGAATATTATCGCGTATTACTTTATAGGCTCGTGTTTTCCTGGATTCTGGTCTTTTTTCTAGATAATGTTGCAATTTTGCACGCATGACGTGAAAAGTATACAAATAAAAGACGTTTAACCTTGAACCCTTTTAACCACGGCTATCTTGGCTGGCGGTAGTACAGCACACAAATGTGTGACAGTGTTTGCACCATTGTAACTCTTTTTTCTTGCAAAACGACTTCAGTCGTGATAACATACTTTTGACACAGCTAAATATGCCACAAGCTGTCTATTTCTGCCACAAAATTTGTCAGCATAGTATGACTGGGAAATTCATGCTCCTTTGTTGACTGTGATCAAATGTAGCTTTGGCATTGTTTAAATATCCGGAGGTTGTAAAAATGAAACAGCTGTACGGAAGGCATGTGCTACAACTGATATTTGCTGTTGGACTTTCTCCCAGTCATTTTTAATGCCACTTTCTTGAGCAACGCGAATGGAATCTATGATGCCTGGAAAAGTGTTATCCGTCGCCGCAGTGAAATAACTCGGCGCAAGTATCACGTGTCTAAAAAAAAAAAACACAAGAAAAACCGAAATTTATGCCCTTATTATTATAAATTATTATTATTATTGTTATGAAATATATGTTTGATTTTTTTTATCAGACTCCTAGTATATAAGTCCTTAAGAGTCAGAACACTGAGCGTTTTAACCAGGGCGGATAAAGGTTGGGCGGTGAAACGAGCGCTCCGCTCTTCATTTAATGTGTGATGCGGAGTAGGACTGGCACGAGCGCTCTTTCCGCCCTTCCGGTGCGCTTCAAGGCCGGCGAAATTTTCCTTTTTGCAAACCGGAAATCCTATTTTCTTTCTGTAATTTCAGGTTACAATGTTAAATAGATAAATTCGTTTCATAACAATATCAATAAGCAGTTTCATATGTTTGTGTCTGTACGTCCATAAGTCAAACTTGTTGGTCGTATAATGCCAAAATTTGAGTTTAATTTGAAAGTGTTGAATACCTCCTCCTTCCACTAAATATCACCTAATCGTCTTTTGCCGTTTCGTTTGCAAAAGCTTAACACTTCTTAACCTCAATTTTTACATATGTTAAAGGAGGATAAATTTTATATAACATAGCAAAAAATTAGATTGATATATATTGATATAGTGGCGTTTTACTTCTTTAAACTTTGCTTCTCGGGTTCAACGCGCCATGGCGATTCGCGCAATGCGTTGCAAATCCAGCAACCGCATGTAAACAAAATTTATTGAGGTTAGTTGTAAGGTTTTTTCTACGTTTTTCTCTCTAAAACAAAACAAGGTAAACCGAAAAAAACTGAGGGGAAACTAATTTTGAAGTTTTGAAGAAACAGAAAAACGTCTGAGATGTTTTTTTCAAAATTAAAAAGAAGCATGATGGTGATTGAAATTAGCATAATTTCACCTTGCACGAGCTGCACTCATTTATAAAATAAACGTCATCTAGTTATGAAACACGATCTGCTGTCTTTTAGTTTTGCCATGGATGAGATTTTCCTTCGTGTTTTAGACAGTACTTAGTTGTTTTTGTTTTGGAATAACATCGACATTGGCGAGTAGCAGAACGAGAATATAATTCAGTGGTAGAGTCATGGAAGTAATAAAAGAAACCCTTTGAAAGAGATGTTTGTCTACTCCTTCTCAAACTCACTAATAATTCATAAAGAAAATTCAAAGGAAATTAATGTTTAATGAGTGTTTTGATATCAGATGAAAAACTGCTCAGTTTTGCATACTTAATTTCTCCTTCAAAAATGATTTTGTTTGAGAAGAAATATCAAACATTCGACACAGTGTTTCATCACCAGATGAAACACCTCGAAGTTCGTCAAAAATACTCCGCTGCGCGTCGTATTTTCAACTCTCTTCTGGGTGTTTCATCTGGTGATGAAACACTGCGTCTCATGTTTGATATATTACAACTAAACCTCCCGCAAAAATAGCAACATTTGCCTCTCGGAGACAGCGTACCAGCACAAAGGAACGAGGAAGAAGTGCAAGAAAACAATTCAAGCCGCCATAATCCAGTGACAGCGGCAGTGTCTAATCTACAAACCACATCATATCGCAAGCCCTGACCGAAGTCGAAAACAAGCGACATTTCTAAGCAGAGTCCCAGTCTACTGCATCACACCTTTTTGCTCGGACGCGCTCGTTTCACCGCCCAACCTTTATCCGCCCTGGTTTTAACATCAGATTACTGTAATTAGGCGTACGTTGGAATCTTTGGTGCCCTAATATTGCCCGACCAAAAAATATGTGATGCCCTCTGGACATGTGAGTTCAAAGTTTCTCGCTACAAACACGTTTATTGAGGTTTGGCCGCCCCCTCGTTTTCTTGCCCCCAACCCGCCTATGAGGTCATTATGGCTAACTTATATGTCAGCAAAACAGAAGTTTATTTTCTGGGTTATATATATAACTGTGCGGAGTCCAAAACTCAACTGAAACTTTCTTAGGCCATAGAAAGCACGAGACGATAAAGATTTTGCAGATCGTAATATAGAATAGACACTATGACCCTGTCATTTTCGAAGTCTATCTTCTTTAGGCGAAATTAAACATTCAGCATCTATATCTAACCGATTTTTTGAAAACCAACCTAACGAAATTTGCCGCCATTTGTGTGAAAAAGGGTCAAAAGGCACGTTTCTTGAGCCCAAGAAGCTCCAAAATCATAGTAACGAAAAAAAAAAAGGAGCGACTAGAAGAAAAAGAAGAGAAGAAAAAAAAAAAAACAATGGTTGCACTCTTAGTTTTTATAATAGCTACTTTGGAGATAGTTTTCGGCCGAAAAAAACTGTTGGACTCCAAAGGTCCATCTGGCGATAACGTTATCAAAAAAAGGAGTAGACATAGTACTCACCCAACGAATGGCATGCCAGGAAACATTCCCTTACTTATAAATGCTTTCTCCAACTGAAGAAGGTGATCATTTGCCACTCGCACTTGTAAAACACTACAAATGATGAAAACATGTAGGAGTTTATTTTATTGAGATATTTCTGTTCTAAAAACATTTCCTATATCAAGTAGCGGGGAAATATAATTCTTCAGAACTACAACTACTACTACTAAACAACAACAACAACAACAATCCTACCCTATCCACTACATCCTTTTGTTGTTTCCTTAACATAATTACTCGCTTGTCGAAAGCCCCCTTTAGTAATAAACCGAACTGAGTTGAACTACGTTTTCCCATAAATTTCATTGCCCAAAGGTTAAACGTTCCGGAAAATGTATATAATTTTTTCATTAAAATGTGGACAATAAAACAGATCTCTGTCTTTTACAATAATCGTGTTTTTCATACTTCAGCCCATACTGGTTCTTACTTTGTCTTGTCCACTGTATGTAAGCATTTCTGATATGTTTTTGCTGCAGCCTGGAAAACCTCAGCAGCTTTCAATAAAACCTCTGTAGAAAAGACGTCATAAATAGATGGATTTGAAATTTGGGGATGAAAAAAAACATCCTCAATAAAAAGTTACATTAATAATAATAATAATAATAAAAAAAGAACGAGGAGTTTTGATTTATAGTTTGTTCTCAAAATATGTTCGTATACCTTAAAAGTAACTGAGTTCAACAAAACATACCCAGTGTAATATTATTTACTCTCAAAGTGCCATTGTAAGTTGTCGACAGGTTTTTTACGAAAGCACACAAGGTGTCTGCGTAACGAACCACGTCATAAGGAATAAACATCGAGCCTGCGATATTGAAGGTCATCTGCAGCCAAAGTTTGGCGAGCGCCGCGTAATAGTTGGTTGAGACCTGTTAGTAGAGAGAAGACTATTAAATTCAAAGCGTCTTGAAATCGGGAAAAACTTTTTGCTTGTAAAATATATCAACTTGTTACTTGAAAAAATATGCGGTTATTAACCAAGTTTATGGCTGGTATATGATCACAAAACTGTCCGACCCCCCATAATATCCATATTTTAGCCAACAAGCAGCCTTGCGTCTTCGCGAGGCTGCGAGGCGACAGGATAACAAAACCGTGAGCGAAAGTTCCAAGGCAGAATGAATCTCCGAGGCGATGCAACATAAAGGAAGTGTAAGGTAACTTTTATGACGTAATGCAGAACAGAAATATGCTATGTAAAGATAGTATTTCAATTTACGCTGTAGAGCAGTTTAGTTCACCATTTTCAAAGTAATTTTCGGTCATGCAATCGAATTGGGTTCAACATATTTTTGCCAATTTAGAATGGTATCGTAATAAAATAACAGGCGAGGGATGAAGATAGGTTTGAAATCGCTGTAACTTATAAAACAGACCATTGCTCTCATGTTTCTCTCTTTCTTCGCTCTTGTTGAGGGTCAGAGGTTTCTTCTTGTTGTTGTTTTTTTCCCGAGTGACTATCTTTTTGAGACAGGAAAGAAGGGTGACATTTGCACAAGGTACATGTAAACCAGAAGAAAACCTAACGTTGTCAGAAGGAAGTCGCTAAAAGAGTGCTACACAGCCTTAGGGCACACCTGAAGCAATGGGAACATCAACTGGTCCAGCTCTCTCCAAATTTCCATACTGTTTCGTTCTATAACTAACCCATTATCAACAAAACCCTGCCCGCTTTGCATTTAGTCTAAGAGCTCTGCAACCACTTGAGTAAATGCATGATAATAGACTAGAGATGGGTCAGTTCTTAGTTCGTGTTTCCATTTGTTTCCACTGAATACAGAAGTTGAACTTACATTGTAAGGGTGGTAGCCAGTTAGGCAGGTGCATGGTACACCAATATTAGTAAACGTGAAACAGCCACTGTCACCCCCAGCCTGAGACAAAAAGCTGCGAAACAAAACCAAATGACGGCTAGCTATTATAAATTTAGGCAAAAAGCTGTGAGTAACATGCTAACTGATACTTTTTCAGCCTGTGAAGAAGCACGTTTGTACTATTTAGATTATAAATCTTTTATATTCGGCAAAACTGTCTGTAGCTAAATCATCTTCACTCTGTTTTGGCCCTTCTTAGGGCTTAATGAAGGTGTGTAGAAAAAAAAAAAAAAAAAAAAACGGACAGTTTTTGAGCAAAAGAGTTAAATCATTTCCTTGCTACAATTGATTAGTTCAGATCAATAACTTAACTTGGGCCTTAATGCTGCTTAGTAAAGTATCGTTTACTATGAACAATAATAGTTATCAAGTGAAAATGAAAGGGTCTCCCTTGTAGTTATATGGTAGGGCAACTGGCTTTCTTCAAATTGATGTAAAAAGACGAATACATGAAATCCATACATTCATCTTTTCCGAGTATATTACGAATAAATTTCATGAACATCCTTTTTTACGCAGTTTAGCAAAAATTCTTCTTATGCATTGATTTTAAAATTGTAAAGAAATGAGTTGGAGGAGGGAGAGGAGACAGAAGAAAGTGAAAAACAATACATTGAGTGGCAGAGGGTAAAGCCATCATACTGAGAAGGAAAAACGGTATTACTGGGGAAAAGAAGAGAGAAGGACAGAAAACTATAACATTAATCGAGAAGGAAAAAAGGGGGCCGAGGAAAAACAAGCATCATTTGTCCTCCAGCTGCGAAGAATCACTGAACAAGAACCAGCAAGTTCAATCAGACTGCAAGAACTATCCCTACTATCCAAAATCCCCACTTGAAAATTAAATATCCCTACTATACTGGTTCTTAGTTCAGCCCCTCCCCAATAATAATTTTTTTTTACCTTCATGTCTCCCACCTGCTCTCTAGATAGTTTGTCATACCAGGATTCTCCATGCCAGGTGCTGAGTAGCCGGTATTCATTTTATGATCATTACAACGTAAAAAGAACAAACCTTTTATCGAATTTTGTTTTCTTGATTTCGTCATACAACGTCCTTTGACCTTCTGACAGTCTGACCTTCAATACAAGTCAAATAAGTATCGTTTAACTGACTAAAGCTAGCATGTCCTCAAAACTGGCTGACATGGAAGAAAAAAATCAGAGAGTGTACAATTACGTTAAATTTTCCTAGTTTCTATAAATCATGATTTTGAGTTGTGAGGACTTTGACGTCAACTATCTGCGAATTATGATTACAGTAAGCTTACCATTTTTGCGACTTCAAAAGTTGTTTCTTCTAATAGGGGACTTGATCTTATCATCGGACGGGCGACTTTTCCTACAGAAAGAAAAGCAGTAAGTCGTGTTAGCACTCGGCATCTTAAGTTATGCTTGTGAATTGCAGAACTCAGTCGCGATCCTATATCAGTCCAGGTGTTGCTCTCGATCTCTTGCATCTTGCAGGCCTAATCGTACGTTGGTCTACCTTAGACTTGAAATTGGCCGATATCATTCATGTGCCATCCGTCTATGCTTAGTGAACAGAATGCGTTAGGAAGAGGTGAAATTCATTTGGTTGTTTGCCCTTTAGTTGCGTGTGGAAAGGTGGAAATTGAACTAAGGAGACCGGGGAGCTACATTTCTGCAATTTACAAAAACCGTAAACAAACAAGTAAACCAAGAAGTTAAAAGCTATTAAAAACCTTAAGGGAAGCTAATAAAATAAGGAGTACCTTGAACACAACTGTCCACGTTCAAATAGGCAACAGAGCGGAATTGGAGCAGCTTATGGTATTCCTAAAATAGAAAAAGAAAGTACATAAATAAATGTATATTTAATTACACGATTAAACCCAAAGGGTCTTAGGTTCTCAGGGGCGGGGAGGCGTTAACATCAACATAATATCAGTATCCATGTTTTCCTAATCACAACATAATATAAAACAGCAATATAGTGGAGAAATATAATGGACAATTAGATGATTTCCAATATTTCGTTGTTAATGATTGGATTTAATGACCCGGGTAACTTTTTGTAACTACAATAGCTTATGCTATGACCAAATTTGGAACGGGAGCAAAAACCATCGTCACGACGGTAAATTGCGCCAACATACAATCGCAATCTCGTTTCCGGGCAGCGGCGCGGCAGCCTAGCTGTCTTGGCATGAGTGAACTCACGAAAATGGCGAATAGCCGAATTGCTGACTAAAAATGAACGGAACAAATGTAAGAATACGCCACTCAAATATTGCTCATCTACTGTGTAAGGAAAACACATCATCTGTTCCCGGCTATTCTGAAACTTGCCAGGAAACGGGCAAATGTATTGAAGAAAGTCTACTAGAAGGTACAGCGTAATGTTTTCAAGATCTTAGAAATATTCTGGGCGAATTAGACTGGAAGATACAAAAAGCTGTTGTGTACCTTGACCCGAAACGTTTTGGTTACTCAGCAGAAAAAAAAAGCACATGCTTGGAGTCGAGTGACAGAGACAGTGCCTGCAGGGAAAAGTATAGAGTGGCCTCCCATTACAGGATAATAGTTAATAATAATGATGATGATGATCGGTAACGCTGTACCTCGGTCCATTCCAACGATCCAATATATCCTGATCCCCAGTGACAGATTTTTATCGTTCTCCGGGGCATCCATCCTAGAAAAATTATACAGCAAATCCAAAGATGTGTTTTAGATGGAGTCGCATACGAAAGAAAGGTAACTGACAGAGATTAACCACAAAGTTCGATTGGAGGGCCCTTTCATCATTACATGAGCTGAGCCTTACTCGCTTTGCCGAGGCGGCTTTTATACCGGTATAACGTTATTATCATACCGAAATCCCAGTAACAAGACAACTAAGTCAGCCCGGCAGGCACCAAGTTGATTTTTGTTGCGTTTTCATTAACGTGGCGCGACTTTAACAAAGTGAGCCAGTCCGCAAAAGCACCCTATCCGGCTCATGCAACCTGGGCCTATGATTCCGTCTTACGCTACTGAATATGCATTTCATTGCATAAGACGAACAAGTCCATAGTTGCCTCAATGCCGTCAGGTTTACCCAACCATCAAATTTCGGCTCTGTACTAGCTACAAGTTGGTCAGTGCGTTTGTTATAACCTGAATTAGAGGGTATTACAAACGCACAGCACAGCACAGTTTAACATGTGATAAGGACGTACCTTTCTTTTTAATGGACATTAACACTCGGACAACCTCCATAAGGAGAGCAGCACCAACAGACAAACTTGAAGCACCCAGCGTAACATAACGATCTGTCATTATAAATCACAGTTGAAATCAGCCTTCTTTTAGTATCTTTTGAAATATTACGAAAGCCCGCGTATATCTTCAGTTAAAAGTAGTACATTAATAAAAATTATTTTGGTGAAGTCAGTACAATTAAACAATTATCAAACAATTATTCTATAGAGACTCCGTTTTGACCTTTAAATGTCAGAAGCTAGAACGCGGAGTTATGAATTGCTCGTTCAAATGGTTCGCGAGTTTATATGTATGAGCATTGTGAGCATGTGCCTTGAGAAACCAGATTCCGCTATACAGAACGGCTATAGGCCAGCGCACATTTTCCTTCAGAGGGGCCTACATATGGAATAACTTGCATAATGAACTTAGGCAAAGTGCCTCATTGGCATCTTTCAAGCGCACCCTGAAAGACACACTATTGAGGCAGACATTTCCTTTATAAGCTTTAGATTTTAGTAGAATACCATCATAAATTGTGATTTCGAGTTTTTATTGTCATTTTTGCTTTTATAAATTGAAAATAGTTTGTAAATAGTTCCTGAAAAACCTCACGAGGATGTTACTATTAAAGTTATTATTATTATTATTATTAGTAACAACCAATTATTCTCTCACCTGGTTCTGTGAGTCCTTTGATGGTTCCCACCACATTGCAAACCGCTTGCTTAAAAACAGCAAGACTTACGTTCATGCTAACGTTTCTTCATAAAATATATTGGATAAAAAGATAGGGTTTAGTTCAAAATTAATCAGCAAGGTAACACAGCTTAACACATCGAGCTTAAGACCTCTATTACTGTCAACCGACGGTAATAGTAAGAGTGACGTTTTTTGAAAATAGGTTGCCGAAAAAAGGAAGCCGATAAAACCATCATCAAGGTGCATGGTCTCTGCCAATCAGTGTTTATATTAGTTTACATTAAACACTAGAAATTTATTGAGGATATTGTATCATCTTATGTAAACATAGTGCTAGGAGAAATGGGGCTTGCAGTGAAAAAGGAAATGAAATTTAAAAAATGTAAAATATTCGGGAGGAAAATTCAGAGCTCCCTCTCAGAGAGGCCTTCCTTATCCCAGATGGTTGTTTTTAAGCCCCTTGAGTGTGTTCAGCGAAGTTTCTCTATCTGAGTTTTTCACCACAACTTCACAATGCATTGAGATGCTAGTTTATAAAGCATTTCTCTAGGACTACTTGAGACGACTTAAGGTAATAGCTTTTACCTTAAAAGAACATAAAAGATATAAACGGAAAAAGTAGTTATAATTATAATAGTTAAGACATTTTTTTACTGAAGAATAAGCAAGGTGGTAAATTAATTCCCCAAGAATCATGGACGGGACGGTATACTTTCAAAATGCAAAATTCTACACAAAGCAGTTTATTACAATTACAATAAAATCCAACTGACGTAACAAAAAAGTCTCTCTTATGATTACCTTTTATCACTTGAATCCATTTGTATTCCATATGAAAAGTTCATTCCACCTTGCCAAGGTTTTGGCACCGCCGTCTGGTTCAAAAGTCTACAATGAAATACCGCTTATCTTGTCAGCAAAGTTAAGCGTTGATATAATTAAATGGCACAATATTCTGGGTGACAAACTACCCTTTAATTTCTGCGTTAATTTATAATTTCACATGTAAAATTGCGAAATTACCATGGCAACGTTCCGTACGAATCAATGTCATGAGATGGCGGCAAAGTTTTAAAACATGACGTTTTCACATGACGTCACGGCGGCCATATTGGTGTACCAAGAAAATCCTCTGGGAGTTGAACTCTTTTCTCATGTAAATGCTTTCTTTTGTTCCAATAAATTAGCTTAGATGCTGGCCACGTGAGTGAAAACGCTCAGCCACGCTCCATTCATAGGTAATCAAATTGTGAGGAGTGAAATTAGGCACTCGTCACCATTTGATTACACATGCATTCACTTCAAAATTAAGAGTGGTGTCTTAAAACGACATAACGCATCAATAATACGGATGATAAGGCTTTTTCTCTGGGATCCGAGTTCTCCGAGTCCTTCAGGTCTGATCACGAAATACCTAAATAAATGGCTGTTTTTGGTGCGCAAAATACATTGCTAAGGCATATACTGAATGCTACCTTAAAAGCTTTTCTGCCTCCTGACATGATATCGGCTGTACTGGAATCTGGAACCGTAAAACATCTTCAACTGATTCTCTTAATATTCCAGCTACAAAAGAAAACATTTTCTACTGATTCTATTAATATTCCAGCTACAAAAATAAACATTTATTTGAATAACGTTTAATTTTCTCTAGATAAATCCCTAAAAAAGACGGATGCATAATCCCATAAATGTGGTGAATATCTTTTTTTAGTCGCTTGTCTTCATTTTCCGCTAAGTCAGGACACCTCAGCGCAATCTAAATGACGGCCACAGAGGTCTCCGTTTTCAGTAGTTTTCACATGACGTCATCTAAGTTCCAACCAAAGATTTATCGTTCCTCATGAGTTTTACTTTTATGCACTATTAGAGTAGCTAGCTTGGGAACGTTTACCATCGAAACTATTCTGTGTTTTGTGATAGAGTTCGTTAGAATTTGCATGACGCTCAGCATTTAGGTGGCGGCCGAGAGAGCTGTCAACTTTGTTAAAAAGTGACTTAGTTTGGGGGATTTTGCGATCCCTTGTATGGACAAAATTCTTTTCATGATGAAAATACAAATACTCAAGAGTCCTCTCTACTTGAGTGCGAAAATATTGGTTATGAGTACAAGTCACTGTCAACAAAGACAACCAAAGTCAGCGGGAACCACGCCCTTTGATGGACACTAACATGGCGTCTCGATACAAAGCTATATAAATTTGGTAAGTTCATTTCTCCTAATATCTTGCATATGAAAATTTGCACCGACCTGAATCTTGGCGAGGGCCTTTGGGTATATTTAGCTCCTTTCATCTCCTACATTCCAGGCTTTATCTGCTGGACCGTTTCGATTTTGATTTTTGATGCCATGACCGTGAAAACTAGCAAGCAATATATGGTTGATAATTTTCTTCTACGCACCTGTGGCTGGGTAACCAGGTATTGCCCATAAACCTCCGCTACGCACTGTCTCGCTGGGATACCACTTGACTGCATTAACATCGGTTGTGTTACTTGTATATTCAGCAGGATCCAAGTATAACAAGACTCCACTGACATTCCACTTTAAAGCATTTGCAACCTTTTAGTCAAAGAGTGAAAGATTTTGTTGACTGAAGTTGAACAGGGGCACCGCCAAAAAGCATCTAGTGTTTGGCAAGGCAAATATTGCCTAGAATTTACTTGACTGCTAAAAGTTTTAGATGGCTGTTCCCTTCAAGTACAATCTTAATTCCATGGTTTTTTAAATTTCATTTGTGCCTTCTACCTCTTAAAAGAATTTTTTATATGGAATTGAAGAAAAGGATAGCGGAAACCTTTATGCGTGTGAGGGAAGTAGTTCAAACAATAGAAGAAAATTGAGCCGGAATTTGCAGGTAAGTAACAAAGGGGTTTACTCAGTTTTTAATGGATAGGAAAATGGTGGAACGAGATAAAATAAGCCTTGAGGTAGTGGTATGGTCCAGGGGCTCCCAACGGGAAATTTTGAGAAAAAGACCTAAAAACAACAATAAAGCATGAATAAAGCTTTCTGAAGCCATTTTAAGCATTTTGGGAGATTGCTGGGAAAAATTTATCTGTTCCTCACTCCCAGCAAGACTGATGGAAGAGCCTCCCAGCCAGCAAGGTGCACCTACAACGATACAACCTGCAACCTGACTTACTGGGAAGTTTTCCAGCAGACGTATGTCCAGACATTACTAGTCAGTTTGGGTGTGGTCATAGGCCAAAATTAATCCCCTTGGACACCCTAAATGGCCCCTTTCCCAGTAAAACTTTCCTTCAAAGGACATTTTATTTTCTCTAAATCTCCCAGCCTGCAAAAATTGGCCTGAAGAACAGAAATTTTGAGGAACAGATTCATTAGGTGCCCCCGTGGTATGGTATTATTTTAATGTCTTTTTTTCTCTGTCTTGTGGATGTTAACAACTGTACCCTAAACTATGTGATACAAAGAATACCTTGGTGTCCTCAAGGACCTTGCCATATCTAAGAAGAACAATTTTTCCCACACAAGAAATGTTTAAAGCTTGTAAATGTTTGAAGTCTTTCTCCCTTCCATAATTAACGTAAATTAGTTTGCCAGTTGCTATACCGGAAGTAGAATATGCACTGAAGGGTAAAGTGTTCGCTGCAACACCATATATGGAAGCTTTGTTCTTCTGTATCAAGGCTGAAGAATATTTGATACTTCCTGTTGTATCAACCAGTGATACTTCGCTAGGCCTCTTGGGATACATACGTAAGACGTCATAGCGCTTTATCTCTACAGTGTTGAGGCCCAAGGAATTCCATTCGTTCTTGATGTGCTGAGCTTGGCTGCAACTACTATTTGTTCCAGTAGCGATTGACAGGTTTTTAAAATAGCTGGCAATTGAGAAAAAAGAACAGGGAAATATTACTTATACAACGCTAATTCTTATTCACTTTGAGGGAAAACTTTCTGCAATCAAGAAAAAATATGTCCGCTGATGTTTATGATTACCTATTTCAGAAATTGTGGTGAGCCTGGGAATGATCGTGATCGTTTGGGATAAGCAAGATTAAGGGCTTAATAACATGGAGGTGGGGGACCCCAGGTAGGTGAGGTCACCCCACCTATCATGTAAACGCGACCAAATTAAATTGAGAGATTATATGGACGGGCGGGTTACCTCACCTACCTGGGGTCCCCCACCTCCATGTAAACAGGCCCTAAAAGGGCCGGCGGAATGGTGTGTAATGAAACTTGTATTCCCCCGGTATTAAAATCGCAGGACACTGTCGACCGTTTTGTTATTGCATAAAATTCTCTTTGCAAGATCCCATTAGCCCTCACTACCACTAAACTCCTTTTTCCTGGTTGTCAATCGTCTTTTGATGGTTTCGATTTTTTATCATCAAAGACATTTTTTTAATATCAAAGTTTTAGCCTCAGAGAGTAAATTGCCCTTGCTGAATGCGGTGCATATTTTCTACTTGTAAAGAATATTAAAAAGAACTTAAGCATACTACCATAGCGTACATTTACATCTTAATTGCAATAAAAAAAGATTTTTGTGGTTAAGTTTCGATGATCAAGACGTTCTTCTTCCAGGTCTGTCTAAATATTCTTTCGGTAAACTTCAAATGCCATTGGTCCAACGTTCTTCCGAAATATCGGCAGAACTCACGCCGATCAAACTCTGGCGGAATACAGTCAAACTTCTTTTAAGGAGGCATCCAAAATGCGGTGGTGGTCGCTTACGGGAATAGAAAAACAGGAATCTCTCCCGAGAACAGGCTCGGACTCAACCTACTTTAAGTTACGATACATATAGTTCTTTGATGTAAATGAAATTTCCTCGTATCCTGTGAGCAGGATAGTGCATACAACGAACATAGATATCAGACCGTGCCTTTTAGTGGTCGCTAAAATACAACAGACAAGAGGCTAAACACAATAGAAATTTATAAAGCCGTTAGCCTCTACCCCCACCCCCAAAGTGGTAGCGATCGCTTTCAGGAGGTGATCGTTATGAAAGGATCCAACTGGAAGACTGTGACTAGGAAACATTTGATTCTTTGGATAAGTGGTGGCTTATGGGAAGCGGTCACTTACGACAGGTGATCGCACATGGAGGTTCGAATATAATTACAGTTTTATAAAGCACTAATTGTTGCTGCTAGTTTCTTTACTATACTTGCGTCTGATTACGGTGAGGATGGTAAGGATTTTGGATGAATCTGGGTATTTGCTGCTTCCTAAAGAAAAAAGGCAAATTTTCAAGGGTATGAGGCAGCTCCCTGAATCGACTGAGCCATAATTGGTTGACGCGGCTTCAAGATATACTTTCTGAACCTCACTTCATGCCACTTAGACTATAGACTCATCAGCTCAGCTCGGGCTTCCATATTAAAAACGTCCAAATGAAAAAGCTTCAGCTAAGAAATTAAAGGCAACATACTGAATGGGATTTTATATCGAAATAACGTAACAACATTCTATATGCATACTAACTCCTGGAATTGATGCTTGCCCGACTATACACCCAGTTTATAGCTCGGGCGTTCCCATGGAAGCCTGAGCAATAGCTTTTTCCCTATGCCCGTTCAATTTTTAAACGGTATTAGACGCGCATTTGACAAAAAAGAAAACATTCTTATGATAATTTAAAGTCTGACGAGAAGCAATTAATGGTCCTCCCACAGTTTTTTCAACTTATAACATGGACCAGTTAGAGAAAATCCTTTGACATCACTGAAAAGAGAGCCTTGAAATTAGAAAAACTGCCAAAATTTAAATTAAAGTGATACGTCTTAAGCGAGCGAAGATGCAGACGTTTGTATGGTGGGCGGCAATTAGTTTGTGTCTCCAATCAAACAAACGTCTGTCAAACTTTTTGCGACTTTGAGATGCTATATCCTTGTTAGTTTTCCACAAATCACTTTCAAACTTGCTAATTTTAGTAATTTTAAGGTGCTCTTTCCAGTAGTGTCCATGGATTTTCCCTAACTTGTCCATGTCAAAAGTTTAAAAAACCGTGGTAGGGTCTTACTATTAATGTTCGATCTGTTTTTAGCTGGTTTTTATTCAGGCCGTTTCAAAACCGCTGATAAAAGAAGAAATAAAGATATCTCATTCCTATTCATAATGAACTTACGTGCCCCATTCTCAAGGCTTTAATGCACGATGTTCATGAATAACGCTATTTCTTAAAACAGTCATACCATTATGCTAACCCCTAGATAGTCAGAAGGTTGATTTATCTACAGCGGTCTGCAAAAAGACGGTTCCTTTGATGTTATGAAAGCTGACAGATGGTTCAAAATTGCCAGTTTTGGACCATTTTGTTTTCCGTGTAATTAAGATTAAACAGTAACCTGCCGTGATGTCCACATACAAGTTCAATTACCACAAATCCATGTTAGAACTTTCTTTTTAGGTTCGCGGTAAATTAATAGACAATCACTTAAAAACGACTCCCTTAAACCGGACTCTTGTCAAGCAAAAAAGTCCAGACACTTTTTAACTTATTGTCGCAATCAATATATTTAAATTGAAAAAGATAAAAAGTTGAAGACTTAAATAGAATCTCAGATGCGCAGATGCTTTGGCAAGATTTATCTCATGTTTGTCAATGTAAGGGCAATTTTGTAAGACGCGCCAACAATGACGCAGTAAAAACACGAGGGCAAGCTGAAAACATCAACAGTTTGTCGTCAGAAAGAAATAAAGAATTAATCAATAGTCTGGGAGCATCAACTGCGCACACATTGTCTTTAAAACTGAACACGTTAAACAGATAAAAGACCAGAGTAAAGACTTCCAGCTCGAATTATTTCTTTATTGGTCTTGTGTATGATCGCTCTACTTTAATCATTTATATGTCAAGCTTCTTGTTAAAATATAACTATGCATGAAGATGTTAATTGAGTGCACGAAAAGGTGGCGTAGGTGAGATTAGTGCGCTACCAGCTCCAAACCTCTTTTTTGAAGAGAGCTTCTTCAGACCAAGAATGAGATTGCAAGAAGTTGCTTTTTTAAACTGATACCCCTTTTTTTGTGCACTTTCTGTGTTTATATTGAAATTGAAAAAAAAGTACAAAAACAGTATCAAATCAATAAAATATATATGCTCGCTTGGGCATCAATGATCACTCACTCACTTACACTGTTTTCATCCACAAATCTAAATTTAAAAAATCATCGCGGTACCTTTTAATAGGCAGCGTCTGTGAAAACACTTTTCTATAGAAACGGGTCAATAATTTTTTTTCCTAGAATTTCGATTTTCAAAAGAGAGGTTTTGAACTACATAGAAGTAAATTCTTAACTGGAATAGTATCAATTATTTACCTTAGTGACTTTCTCATTTCACCAATTTATACACAGATCATTTGCAAGATAATGATGGCTGTTGCGTTCCGTGTTAAAATTGGCTCAACCGTGACGTGAATAAACCATCGCACCCTTAAATGGTCGTATTTAACATGTTTATATAAAAAGATACTCACTCTAGATAATAGCGAATCCTTTGCTCCAAAACTTGGCTTAACAATTCTTTTTCGTAGCCTAACATCCCGGATGTTTCTTCATTTCCGTTTTTCCCGCCAGAGCAACTCTCGCTGTTGCTACTTGGACGTGCGAAAAAACCAATGAAAAACCCAACGAGGCCAATAAACAGTACAAACGAGGCGAAGCCACAAAGGAATTTCTTTTGTACTGACATTCCCATCAAAAATAGTGGGAAAACCCCCGGTTATGGTAGCTAACCTACTTATCTCTTGTTATGGTCGTTTCTGGCTTATATGGAAATTTTTTCTGAAGGAGTCTTGATTCAACATAGTTCAGTCAGCTGTAAACAGACCGATTGACAGGTAGTGTTTCAGCTGTCAGGAAGGTGTTTAATTCTACTGGTAGATCCCAGTGATAGCTTGGCAATAGTCACAAATTAGATTTTTTTGTGGGGTGGACATTACAAATTGTCGTGAACGAATGGAAATTCGACGGACAAATATTAAAAATGAAAACGACAAGGAGCATTGCAAACGGGGCGTAATTTTGAGTTGAATAAATCAATGAAAAACCACAAAATGATCCAGAAAACAAACAAAGAGGCCTTGAAATCATTTTGAACTTTCAAATTTTATTTTCTATTTCCTCGCCTTGTTATAGCTAGTGTTGTGAATCAATAAACTTGCCGGTTACATTGCCAGAATGGATTACACAATCTACTCGCTTTTATCTGCCATCAATAATAAAAAATATTCACTTAAGTTATGTTATTAATAATTTTGTAACAAAAATCCTAAGAGTGACGTATTTAACCCATTCTTATCTCTGTTATTATCTAAACAATCAAATATTAAATATTCTCAAACCTTCTCGGACGATCAAACCCATTAAATACATGCCAATTAGCATGTTAGTCCCTCGTGGATTAAAAAAAAGGGGATGATTTAAATTCCTGCAGAAAGCTATTGGAAAAAATTACCAAACATATACAAATGAAATAATCAGTTAAAATTCAGTTTTATAACTGTCTTCTATGTCTCAATCAAGTAAGAGTTGTTCGAGAAAAATAAAAACAAACAATAGTCCTGGTAGAGTTTGTCGTCCGCCAAGAAACACAAAAAATTCTAGGCGAAACGGTTCCCGAACCGTTTTTCAGTATTATATTCCGGTTGTTAAGGAGATTCACTGAACCAATAAATGACACGTTTACTTTTTATTCATTACTGAGAAAGGAAAGCATCGATATGTTCCTAGTCTTGGCTTTAGCCTGCTGTGTCCTCAACATAAACCGCATACTATAGTGAAAGACTGAGCAAAAACCACATCGCTGTGAGTAAAAGAAAATGGATTTTCAAAAATGTCTTAAGATTGATTAAAATAAAATATATTTGGTTCTACCTTGAAAATTTGCGAGATTATAAAAAATAGAATCATGGCAGAGAAAACTGAGTCAGATCGGATCGGCTAAATCTTGTCGCAATGCAATTTTCAATTGTCAAGCGTCATGACGTCATTACTTTAAAGGCATCATGATAAGTTGGTGCAAACAGCCGCCTAGCTTATCATGGTTTGCCCCATTAAAACAAATTTATTATGAACATAATTGAAGTGATTCAGAAGGGTCAAAATTTGCTGAACACGTCACGCACTTTTTTGTGTTATTCTTCCCGCATTTGGTAATCAAATCAGTACGTTGCGTTGGTGCACTGAAAAGATACCAAATTCTAAGGTGAACTGGAACCACTGCAAATTTCGTTTGTGTGTTGGTTACACTGTCGTTCTTTGCTTCTAAAATTTTATGCAATGATAAATTAATAATGTTGCGCGAAATTTGGTTTATTAAGGTGGTAGGTTCATGACCAATTAACCGTTCTTTCTATCGTTTCATAACGTTCGAATCTTGTTATTGCTTGGGTGCAGCTGTGTGTAGGCTTTTAACATTCCACGTGTCAGTGATCGCTTTAAAAAGGCCTTTGCAAACTGCCAAATCTCTTTTTTTAGTAAGAAATTGTTAGTAGAACATATTTTGCACTTATAATAACGTTTTCAAGCCGTCTGAAATGGTCAATTTTATTGATAACTCAGCAACTATCATTAATAGGGCCACTCGATCAGTGAAAAAGTCCTTTGAGTGCTTTCGACACACTTCAAGACCATTTTATTGGTAATGTTAAGTCCAAAATTCAGTGATGATTAGAAAGGTCTTCGGTAAATAATAATCAGGGTAATAATTAATAATAATAATAATAATAATAATAATAATAATAATAATAATAATAATAACAATAATAATAATAAATCTAGATTCAAATCTATTCTTTCGGTAATTTAGACCATTCCCACAAACAACAATCAGTACAAGTATTAAATGTGACATTTGCCATCTACTTACATGTAGGGGCAGGCGGCGTATTGGCGTACACTGGCGTCATAACCAAAGTTTCTTGCATCGATAGGTTTTCAGTTCCTAAAGCTATTGGGCTCCGCTGTTATTCTCAAATTTTCACACGAGACCCACTGAACTACATTCAACTTGCCCCCAAAGTTCTAAAGCCTCCAATCTTTTCGCGTTTGCTATGCAGTAATCTGAAATCCAGACCAATCTTACACATTTCGAAACGCAGTTATAAAAAGACAGAACCCGACTATCGGCTTCTCTGAAAGACAAATAGTTTTGTAAAACTACTATTTGAAATGGCGAAAATTGTTGCACCCTTCCAACTATTGGGGCTATGGGGGCTGGCGTAACACTAAAACTTTCATCAACAAAGTGAATTGCAAGAACAAAAATCAATGTTTGCAAAGTGACGTCAGTTGTCTGTAGGAAAAGTGACGTAACGAAACTAGCGACAGCTGGAGTTAGCAGTGCTTAGATAGTGACAGAAGTACACAAAAATCTTGTATTCCTGCTGGCTTGTTTCCCTTTGTATCGTCATCTTCGTCACCATCATTATCATCGTCATCATCATCATCATCACTTTGGATTGTAAAATCCCACAGCAGTTTGACTTCGTCATTCTCTACCACGTTTTCTGGGATATGTATGCTCTCTTACCATGCTCGTATTGTTGTTATTATTATTATTATTATTATTATTAGTAGTAGTAGTAGTAGTGGTAGTAGTAGTAGTAGTAGTACAAATATATATTAACACTCAAATGTAATCACTTTGCTTTTTATTTTTTAAATTTTCCCCCTTGTATCTCCCCCAACATCTCCCCTTTTTTTAAAATTTTTAAAAATTTTTAAAAATTTTTAAAAATTAAAAAAACCATCTCTGACTGTTGATTACCGTCGCTTCCCGGCAACGTTGCTAAATGACACTTATAAAAGAAACGCGCTGTTCCTCAGTTTAATTTCACTCCTAATGTTCGGGTTTTGAGAATGAATGTAAACTTGTTTCTGCAACGTGACCTTACTTCACGTCATAGAACTGATTTATTAGCACGCAACATGACGCGAACTCGGGATAATTCACTTAAATCACTAAAAATGAAGGCACTAAGCGGTTACTTACCTCAAAAATTGCTCTATATTTCTGCTGGATGTTTGAAGAACAAACTGCTTGTGAAAACTGTTGAAGTCTCTGGTCGCCAAACTGCACTTATCGTATTTTTCAGTTATCAGATAGCCGCACAGACCACCAAATCCGCACAAAAGTAAAGCGATAAAAATTCGCCAAACACATCGTCTGGTTCTGCATTTAATTGGAATTACCGTACTAGCGTCAGCTGTACCATTTGGCCTCAAGAGCGAATACTTCCGTCCTTGATATTGCCGTGAAAATTCCGTATCTCCATGAGAACTTAGAAGCGGTTCGAAATCATAATCATCGTAAATATATTCATCTTCGACTGAAAAATCCTCTCTTTGTCCACCTTCGCTCAATATGTTATCTGTTGTTATAGCACGTGGAGTGTCGTTGCTTGACGAAGCCATCTCTTCTATATTTTAAAACGAAGTGTTTCGTTTTGGCGTCCTTTTACGCTTGCTTCTGAAAAAAACTTTAAAACCACTCAAAATTCATCGATTCCTGTTGAAATTTTCTAATAAAGAAGCATCACTTCATTATTTTTGCGATGAAGTTTTGCCCAGCCGGACAAAGGACTTGCCACCGGCCAGTTGGTTTCTTGTTTTTGTTGCGGGTAGCGTGTTTTTTAAAAAGGCGCATTTAATTTCACAGTCTATATTCCTCCTTTTTACTTTTAGACGGGGACTTTTCTTATATGACAAGCTTTTTTGGGTGTATATGTTATCGAAGGTAAACGAAAGTTCAACCTAAATTAAGATGATTTACGCAGTACTGCCCAACATTCAAAAAGCACAGGGGCACTGGGGCGATAAAAGGTCTTCAGTATCGCTGTGTATATTTTGGTTTTTCGGTTTTGTGTCATCGCTGGAATAATTCTATTTTTGATCATAATCAGGAAAATCGACCGTCATTTACCATTAAAGGTTATTACCTTTTTCAATCGCGTTCGAAAAGGACCTACTTTTTGGCAGTCTCAATGAACATTACGAAAGCCGTGTTGGCACTGTGTTTTGGTTTCTTCTAAGGTAGCCTGCCATCTTCTGAAAATCGTAAAAAACCCCAGGGGTTAAGATTTGGGTTTTGCCTTGAACTTACGATGGTTAGGCTGTTGCGGTTGGGAGAAAGGAAACAGCTTTTAGGGATCGTGGTCTGTAGTGTATAAAATACATTCAAGTAGACTACTTGTAAACGAAAAAACAAAACAGAAAAATATCATCAGTTTACTTTAAATGAACAAAAAGGCCAAGTTTGACTTTGGTATCACCAGGAAAAGTGAAGAAATTGAGTGTTGACACTTGATTTTGACACTGCGAGAAATAAGATCTATAGTCTTCAAAGTTGACCTGAAATTCTTATTTGATAATACAGTCGAAGCTCTCCTTGCGTCCACCCTCGTAAGCGACCAACTTTAGTTACGTTACCTTTGTGAAACCTCGTTTGAACTGCGACTTAAACTTTGTAATGAAAAGCTCTCGTAAGTGACCGCTCCGGTAAGCGACCGCGACCACTTTTGTGATTATCCATCTGGACTCAGAGTCTTATTCATATTACTCAACACTTAAATGAAACTGCACGCTGTGCTAATAGTTCGTTGGTAAGGTGGCTCGATAAGGTTTTTCGGGGTCAATATCTCCCAAGTTTGAGCATAAACTGTACGTCCCCATTGACAAAGATTAGGAAAAATTTCCACCACAGCTGTGTTAGATAAAGATGAAAATTTGTTATGATCATGGTTACAATTATGACATCGGAATTGTAACAGCAACAAAATGACGCCATTATCTGGAAACTGTTCTTCCAAAATCGTTCGCGATAGCTCTCTCCTCCAATAGCCGCCTCAGTGTTTATGAAGCTATAAGAACGTTATCGAGATATTTTGGGGTGAATTTTTTATGGTTAGAAATATGGTAAAAACTGGACAATCTGATCTTCGGCCTTTATCTGTAGAAAACGAGGCGCTTTTGAAATGCAATTTCACCTCAAGAGAAGTTTTAATCTTTTTAAAAACGCGTGCAAAAGGACATGGAGATAGCTCTAGCCGATAGCCAGAAAGAAGGATTTGATCAGTATTTAATTATATACAGCTGATATAAACTGTACACTAGCGTTCCTGATCATGTAAAACACAACCAACAACTTAGCGTATTCGACACCGCGATCTCCTACGTATAAGAAAAGCGTAGTACGGCTTGAAACTAAGTTTAATTAGCGAAATCAACAACTTTGCACACGTAACTTATTGTTTTTTTCTACATTTCTTTGCCACACTGCACGACCTCGACGTGAAAATGCCGAATTTCACGTTTTATAGAGGACGTAAACAAAAGATGGGGAGCTTTTTTCCCTTTGTAAGGGGGACAAATGTACCTAACCCCCTGGGGCCAGATCACCCCAACCAAAGAAAACAAAAGTGCGAGACCTCCTGTGTTTTGTTTTCTTTGGATGGGGTGATCTGGCCCCAGGGGGTGAGGTACATTTGTCCGTCTAAACTTGGATATCTGTTCGCTCACACTGACAAAGAAAGCGAGTTGCAGTAATAGCGAAAAATTTAGAAAGAATGGGAATTCACGTTTTATTATTCATGGTATGTTAACTCGAGGCATTGAGCGCGTGGCGGGAAAAAAAAACTTCTTCGTCACCGTACTAGAACTCTCCCGTTGTCCTATTTCTTAAAGTCCCTATTAATAAATAACTACAATACTTAACTGTGGCAGTGTGCCATAAAAGATCAATCCTATGTGTTCATTAACTGCAAGCTCTCTGCCAAAATCTCCCCGTAGATTTTAGCAGTGATTCAATTAATGTAGTTACGTGACATTCCATAAGTTACAAAAAAAACTTCTAAAAAATCGATAAGAAACAAACCGTCCTTTGTTCATTTAGCAATTATTGCACCCGGCGGTTGCATTGCTTTGAATTTTACTGTTTGTTACGATCTTCCAAAAGTATACTTCAACTCTGCCGATTGTCTGAACACGTAGATATTGCTCTTATCACGAATCAAAAATGACATGGGTATGACTCCTCAGCGACTAGTAGCAGAGCTCCTCACGAGCACGTAGCCCCCATAGCTAAGAAAATTTTGGTTGTGAAGTCAGCGTACGCCTGCCTGTACGCTCTTTGGGGGAGAGGGAAGCGAATCAAGTGTCTGTTCTATTTTCTTAGCGGGAAATCGTGTGATGTATTTGTACAACCCGCGTTTTTCTTTACGGCCTCTATAGGATAAAATCATTTTTCGGGACTGTCCAATTACCCTTATAAAATAAAGGTCATTTTGCTTAGAAAGAATTTGTTTTCCACGCTTAATCTACTGTGACCAAAGGTGATTTCTATTCATTAGGTGTACTAATAAGACTATTAACTCAAAGTAAGATTTTAGATGTTGTTTCCTTCTTGCAATGTGTGCAAATTATTTTTTCTCTAAAGTCACACAGCCTCACCCTTAAAAGTCGTATGGATCTCCCCAGTTATCCGGTTGGTGGATTACAAGTTTACTGTTTGATTTAAATTAGAAGTTTATTAACTGTAGCTACGCTTTTAGCCCTGGGTCATATCATGTACTTTGAAAGGATCTGTTTGTAGGCGGTGCACGCGGCTGGCGGTGACGTCTTCCAAGAGTCTTCTCTAATGTGAGTACGATATTCATTGTTCCCTCTTTTTGCATAACATGTTACTGAAACGTTAAACTATACGCCATATGTGAAACAAATGAAGGGTAGTAAACATTTATATACTCCCGACCGTACATACGGCAATTTTAGTTTTTGCAGCGTTCCTTGCGCAGGCCTGGGCTTGTTGTTTTGTAGCGGAGCTCCACGCGCGCGCGGAGCCCCATAGCTAAGGAAATCTACCCATCCCAGAAAATTTGGTAATCACGTGACCGACCGACCGTCCGCACCACAGGAATACCATTGTTTACTCTCACACTTTCTAGCTACTTTGGGAGCCCAGGAGAAAGCTGATTGTATATCAATGTTGTCATCAATTGACAGCTGTCAAAACAGGGTATCCGCTGACAACTATCACCTGACCGAATCGCGGGCTCAGGTGTCGACCCATCGAGGTCGAGTATTTTTTTGAAGTTATCCGCTGACAATTTACTCGTTTTCAAATGATCGCAGGCTCACGTTTACTTTTGTTTTAAATTCACAACAAATATGTTGTGTTTATGTCAGTATCGCCCCGCACTATTACGATTTTGATTTCAAACTGACCTCAGACGCAAAAATTCAGCCAGTTTTTTTAAAATACAGGCGGGGAAGACCTTTTCTTACCATGGTCACGTGTTGGTCACGCTCCACGTCCAATTTTTATGCTCTGATTGGTTAAAATTTGACAGGTGAGTTCATGCGTAAAATTTATGCAGCATCTTGAAAGTTGTTTACTTTGACAGCTGAAGCTGACAGAGTTTTGAGTCAACTTGTGATGTTTTTAACTGTCTTTTTCCACTGGATGTACAAAATGAAATACAGCTGCTATCAAGAGTGTTCTCTTATTCATGGCTGGTTTGTTTATTGGGTTTTTGGTTGAAAAATGCGTCGCTTGTCAAAGCCGATAATCCGATTTCGGATGGCATCGTTTTTGTTTTTCACCTTGCTGGATGCGTACGAGAATTATAAAGGCTCAAGCGATCCTTGCCTTACTTGATAGCTTTCAGGAGCTGCATCTCGAAATATGGTAAGCCTGAGTAATTATTGTATTTAAATCTAATTTCATGAAGTCCAGCGGCGCAGTTTATGAAGCTAGTTTATGCACGTTTGTATTAAGATTTGACTGAGACACTGATCTGACCTCGTATGAGGTTTGATATAAGCTTAAGCTTACAGAACTTTAAAAAGCCTTTAGTCGATATTAATTCACCTTAAATAGAAAGAAAAAACTTTCCGAAGAATATTTAGTTATAATTTTGGCTGTAGAAAGAAAGCTTTGAACGATTTTCTTTTCGTGAGTTCATCTTTGAAAACAGCCAACACCGGGAAACCGGCGGCTTAAAACATAAACTTTAAGCTTACTAGTAAAGACTTGAGGATTCTTAGACACACTTAAATACTCATTTGTTTTCGTGAATGAAAATTGTTGTCTCTGTAAATGTTCTATCGAATTATTTTTCTTTATTGATTTTTGGTAGTCTCAAAAGTGTAATTTTCATCGCTTTGCCGTTTGTTTTCAGGCGTTCATAAACATCGCTCGCAGGAGTACTCAAAATGCCAAGCGTATCAAACGCTTTTTAAGATTACACATCGTTATAAAACCGTTAATAAAAAATAGACTCAATAAATTCTTTATCACGTTGAAGCGTAACTCTTTTAAAATTTCTTCGCAAATTTGGCGCTTGTCAAAAGTTAGAACCGGCTGGCCGTATAGGTGATTTTGGAAATTTTTTGAACGGTTTCGCTAATTAAAAGTC